TTTCCGAGTATTCGGACATCGTGAATTGTTGGAAACTCCGAATATTCGCATTTTGCGAGTATTCGGACATTCCGAATACTCGCAAAATGCGTTTTGCCGAATATATGAGAGATAGCAGGGTTTTTTCGAGGGAAAGACGTATTTCGTAGCACACCCTCGAAGGGTTACCTCCAGGAGTCATAGTAATATAACCGATTGGAGTCAACAATCGTCATTAGCTCGCAGCTAACTCTCAGTTTCATTTGAAAGCGAGTTAACTGCCAGATATAGGAAGTGTTGTTTTTAAATCAATGTAACCCCAGGTCGATTGAACTCGCGATGGGTAATCTCCATACCACTAGCCTATAACGCATGGTTACTACGCTTTCCAGAGCTTAGAGATTTTAGAGGTGATAATCTTATCCTTGTTACGTGGTGTGGTAACTTTATCCATTGTGTTATGCACATGAGGGTCGATATTCGTGTCAATATTCCAAGCTGGTCTGAAACTCAGAGCTAACTCGCAATCAACCGTCAAGTTAGCTGGCACAAGAATTGAGATGAAACTGCGAGTCATCTCCGAGTTACAACGATAGGGTGAGATAGTGTTATTAAATGAAGGCATATTCATATCCGTACTAATTTTATGAAAAGTACTCCATAGGAATTTTTAATGTTTTTTCCAATCTTCGTATTTTCCCACTTACGTAGGGTCTGCTTTACGAGTCAACTGTCTCCAGTATTCTCGATTTAGAAATGATCTTTGTCTATCCTAAGCTCTTTCAGCTCTGATTCTGTCCTTCCACCTCATCTGTCTCCCCGTAGTCTTTTTCCAGCGACCTCCAGAGACATGGCCATTCTTGTGATGTGGTTCTTATCTCTTCTATTCTCATGCCCGTACCACCGCATTCGTTTTTCCTGCCCTTAACGATGGGAGCAACTTTCATCCTTTCACGAACGGTGTCATTACAGACATGATCTAGCAGGGTGATACCCACTGTCCACCACAGCATTCTTCTCTCCATGACACTAAGCTTGTGTTCTCCATTTCGCGTACTGGGCCAACATTCGCTGCCATGCAGCGCTGTGGGACGGATCACAGTACGGTATATTTGGGATTTGAGTTGCACTATATTCGCTTGTCGCATAGAACTCCTGTAAAGGTTCTCCATCTTTTCTAGGATGCATTTGTCCCGGCAGATGTTTCATCTTGAAGACCTCCTTCGCCAGAGATGCAACTTCCTAGGTACTTGGAGGTACACGTTTTCTTGATTGGCTTCCCATGATGTATATGGTTTCTGGAGTTTGACCTCCCACTTCCATATATGCTGTCTTCTTTGTGTTGAGCTTTAAGCCATACGACACTAATTGGTCCTTTCATCTCTGTGCTTCTTCTTCGAGTTCTTTTCTGTTTTCTGCCATCAACACCACATCGTCTGCATACAGGAGAGGCCCATGGAAGCTGTCAGTTGAGACTTTCCGTCACTGCATCCATGACTGTGATGAAGAGTAGAGGAGAGAGCACCGATCTCTGATGCACGCCGGCATTTATGCGGAATGGTTTTGATTGTCCTGCAGCGATTTGCACATGGCTCGTGGCTCTATGTTAGATCATTTTTATCCATTGGATGTATATTCTGGAGCCATGTGCTTTCGCAGTGCCCACCGTATGATATCATGGGGTACCTTGTCGAAAACTTTCTCCATGTCAAGGAAAGCCGCATGCAGCTCTCTTCGTTTTTCTCTATACTTCTCTATCACTATCCGTTCAGTATAGATGGCAGCAACAGACTCTTGACAAATCCTTGATTGAATGGCAACTCTATGATCGCTCGAAATCGTGTTTCAAGTACTCTTTCGAAGATCTTCAGAGTGTGGCTCATCAGCCGGATTGGTTGATGCGTTGGGCAATCTGCGATATCGCTTTTATTTTTCCATGTCGGAATCGTTGTGTTCTTTGACCAATCATGGGGCATGCTCTTAGCTTTGATGACCTCATTAAAGAGGTCTACAAGCAATGGGGCACCGAGCCATCCGCTTTTGTCCTAGCCCTACTTCCTCTTGTGTTATGAGTGGTACTGGTCCTTTCGCAGAGTCAGCTGGTGGGATGGCTGTGCCACTGCTGGTAGTAGACGACATTTCTTCGAAGTATGTTCGCCATCTCTCAGTTATTTCCTGTGGTCTTTCGTTTTTCCAAGCTTATCTTTCACATCATAGAAGTGTTCCATATCTTTGGCGGACTCTGCCCTCCATCGCGCTATTCGGTATATAATGCGCTCTCCATCACGAGATTCCAATCTCTTACACAATTCTTCTACGTATGCTTTCTTCGCTTTCTTGAAAGATGCTTTTGCAGCGTGCTTCATTTTTAGGTACAACTTTCGATCGCTTTCCGATTTCGACTTATGCCATTGCTTGTACGCCTGACTCTTTTCCTTAATCAACGTTTGAACCTCATCGTTCCGTCACCAAGTTTCTTTGTCGATTCTTCTTCTTCCTAGTTTCGTGTCAACCAGTAAACTCCTCGCTACTCGATACACGTTACGCTTCAAGGTTGACCATACCTGTTCTGTTTTCTCACCTAAGGCCGGTAGAGTACTTACGAGAGATTTTTCGGCAGAGAGTTCTTTTAATTACCACTTAATTCGTGCTTTGCTGTTAGTCATGTATTTTCTTTGTCGTTCAAGCGGAATTTTTAGGTCCAGAAGTAGTGGCTTATGCTGAGGTATGCAGCTTTCACCTAGTCCTTTATATTCTTTAGGTCATTGTAACGCACTGCCCAGTAGTCAGTTTATGTTAGACGGTCTCCAATTGAATACGTAATTAGGTGTTCATGCTTTTTGATGTAGTACGTGTTGACTAATGCTAGGTTGTACGCTGTGGCGAATTCTAGAATGCGTTCGCCTTCTTCATCGTGTGCCATATCCATGGTTCCCGTGACATTTTCCCGCACCATTTCTTTTCTTCCTCACATGACCGTTTAGGTCTTCTCCAAGCAGAAGTATCTCATCCTGATAGGACATTTAATGTTATGAACACCGTTATACGTGCCTCTATCAATTACAACGCTATCTCATCTTATCAATAAGACTTGTAGTTAACTCGAGTCATTTCATTTTGTAACTGCAGGCTAACATGGAGGCTAACTGCGAATTAAGTCCGAATTTGCTCGGAGTTAAATCAATTTTTTTAAGTTTTAAGACTTTTATAAACTTACCCAGTTCAACGATCTTATCCGTGCATCCTCTTGCGAAATAACTCGCAGTTAACTGTGGGTTATTGGAGTTAACTTTCGGTTGACTATCAGTTTCCTAGCATTACCACTGACCCAAGTAAAAAAACCTTTTTTTTT